CGTAGTTGGCCCATCCTTCCCATCTCAGGACCCCTCATTGTCGTCGCGCAGAAAATCGCGTGGAACAGAAATTGGTTCGTCACAGCCCCCAGAAGGATGAAATCATCAGTCCATCTGTCAGCCGGATCGGGAACCGGGACAGATCCCAACCTCCACCATTCCCAAAAAAGTTGAGAAAGCTCACAGTGCAATAGCATGTGATGAAGGTCCTCGATCCTCGTCCCAGGATACAGGCAGCACAAAGGCATAGCTTTGGTCGTGCGTCGAGCGCACCAAGAAGCGGTTGGCACCGCGAGGTGCACCATGAGCCACAAGTGGCTCGCTTGTTTAACAACGGGAAGGTCTAACAGCAGTCTCCAGTATCTCTTTGTTTTTTTGTTTTTTTGTTTTTTTGTTTTTTGTTTTTGTTTTTACGAGAAGCCCTGTGCAAGTCTCAGAAGTGTGTCCTGTACCCATCCTGTTGCCATCCACCGTCTCGCTACAGTCCAACTGACATCGGTCCGAGGTCTCATAAGGTTGTACTGCAACTTAGTTATGTAGTATATACTGACAAAGGAAAACCGGTTGCCGGCTGCGGAGGTCCTCCAACCAGCCCCAATCCCTCGGTCGACCGGCAGGGCGTAGGATGGCTGCGCCAGACAAAAGGGGCGATTCCCCTTCCGAGTCTCCAAAACACCCTCAGGCTGCATCTCCGTATCTTGTGGCAAGAGTGGTGGGTTCCTGGACAACTGCATCTCGCGACCCAGCGAACGAGGAGAGGAGGGCGTAGCCCAGCATACCATATCACCCGTATCCACAGATGTCACGGATCCCGATCTCCTGCTTGCTTATACCACCCACCGGGTCGCAGAGATAGATCAGACCTCAGACATTGCTGCCATTGCAGCGCAATTGCCCGCTGCAACGCAGCAAGGTGCTGGCTCTGGTGCCAGGTCATGAGCCGGTCTCCATTCCCGTTCCCGTTTATCCCAAACATCCATTATAGTCCCCACCCCCCCGTGCCATCCCAGAATCTCCTAAACCAGCCATCTGTTTCTATTCGTAGTAATGGATGAATCTTTCCAGTTTCTGTGGGATAGATGAGCTCGTTTCTTTTCCCTTTCGTTTTTTACCCTTTCTTTTTTTTTCTTTTTCTTAAGGGAACATGCTCCAATCTATTATTTGTGGGAAATCTCATGTGCTGGGAACCAGGCCCGCGGTCCCTTAACAAAAATCTTAACAGAAAATTTAAATTTACAGAATTGTTTTAAGCACCATCCATAGTAACAGATAAATCTTTCCAGTATCTTGTAGGAGATGCAGTGATGCACCCATTTTTTGCTTTTTCTTTTTTTTTGCTTGCCAACTGGCGAGGCCCAAAGTACACGTGGTCAGCATCTATTGCTCCCTTATGGAGGATTGACTGCCATCTGGCGAGGCCCAAGGGGGCCGGATCTATTGCTCTCTTATGGAGGATTGACTGCCAGCTTGCCTATGTCTTCACCACAATTTTCCTCTCAGAAACAAATGAGGGCAGACTCACATTAGCACCTTTTTCATTTCACTTATTTCTGGGTGTAATTGCGGTTAGATACATCCCAGTCAGGCCATCAATGCGGTCAGATACATAATCATACATTTAAGATAGAGCTAGTCTGTCAGAATGTCAGATATTCCTTTTTTTTTTTTTTTTTTTTAATTGCAGGTATTCCTTGAACGCTGAAGCGGAAGACCAGTGTCCAAAACTGGGGAATAACCCTTCCTGAGTCATTACTACTCACCAAATTTGCAAAATGAGAATGAATCTTCCCTAGAATATGGGTAGATACATGGCCATAATTTTTTGTCTTTTGTGCATGTGGTGAGTAGAGCAAGGCCAACTGTCTACAGTAATGAGTCCTAGTTGGTTTGTGGTTTGTGAGGCTTTTCTCGTCTGTGGCAGTTTTTATTTTCTGGGGTTGGGCGTTATCAGGACAGCCATCTGGTTTTGGCCATTTCTGTCTTTGGATTCAGCCAACTCCCTGCACCTAGGCTGGGTAATGGTCCAAGTACTTTTTCCTTCTCTTCCGGGGTGCTTGTTGAGGATTCCCGGCCTCTCCGTTGGTGTGCGTAATTCAATGAGCGGAGTCTTTTGTTGCAATCAGACTCGTTTTCACTCTTTTCATGCATGTAAACAGTAGCGCAGCAAACTGGCGACAGGCGCCCACTCAAAACTCAGAGATATAGCATCCAGATACGAGTTCACTTTCAACTGGCTATGTCCCGGCCTCTCCGTTGGTGTGCGTAATTCAATGAGCGGAGTCTTTTTGTTGCAATCAGACTCGTTCTCATTCACTCTTTTCATGCATGTAAACAGTAGCGCAGCAAACTGGCGACAGGCGCCCACTCAAACTCAGAGATATAGCATCCAGATATGAGTTCACTTTCAACTGGCTATGGCGACTCAGCGCCCAAACAACTCACTGTTCACATACACCGGATCACCCTGGATATCCCACACACGTCACTCTGAACACTCACACATACACACACACACTTCACACTAAACTACAGCTACGGCAGCTATGGCTGCCCCTACCCTATCGCTATACGACGCTCCTTCTCTCTTGCCCACTTCAGCTCCAAGCTCTCTGCAGGCCTCCTTGCACAAGTCGCTGTGGCAGCGCTCCGCATGGCTCACGCAGGAATGAATCCAAGGCTGGGCGCTGCCTCTTGATTTATACTTCTGAAACTCGTTGGTCTTCCCTCTTTCATCGGCCCATGGTGCTCACAGTCCCTTGTGGTACTTGCTGGACTGGACTGGGACTGACTGGACCTTACCGCTGAGTGAGTGGGGACTCGCTGCTAACCTACCGAGATCGTACTGCAATTGCACTGCAGTTTAGTCCACCACTTGACTCACCACTTGCCCACTTGCCCACTTGCTGACCTTCTAGAAGGACTACAGCTAAGACTTCTGGAACTCGCTAAGACTTCTATCCTCCAGATCTACAGATCGAACCCCTCTGCTACCTACGGACCTATGACAGCCTACCAACTGTTTACGAACACACAGGTCACAGGTTCAACTCTCGCGGTCTACACAGATACTGTACACAGGTAGGGCAAGGTCTAGGGATCGAACCCTGGGATCTGCGTCTGCTACTGCAAAGCGGTGAAAACCGTTTCATTGTTGAAAAAAAAAGAAAAAAAAAGTAGTTGGCCTCTCTGTTGCAGAAGTCTCCAGTCTTCTTTTTCTTTTTCTTTTTTTGCTACTTTAAAAGGTCATACGAGTATGCCCTGTAAGTAGTCCCCGCTTGAAGGGCTCTGTGTATCAGTGGGGAGCTGCACGTGCTGGAAAAATCAGGTTCATCGTCCCAGTATTGTACAATGTTGAAGAATACTGGTTGTACGTGTGCCTTTTGTAGCCTTATGCTGTCTTCTGTTTTTTTTCTTAAAGAAAACTTCACATGTGGGAAAACCCACTTAAAGACGTGATGAGGGCAGCCCCGTTAAGTGGGTCCCAGCGTTGAAGGCTCCATCTATTGGTGGGCAGGTACACCTGCTGGAAATCAGGTCCAGAGTCCCTGTAGATGGTGTGTGTCTGCTGGAAATGGGGTCCAGCGTCCCTGTACAATGATGTGTGCGGATGTTGTACTGTGTTTCCCGTACTGTGTGACTGTGGTTGTAAAATCTGAATATCTGGATAGGCTGTATGGAGGTTGTGAAATGTAAATGGGTGTCAGAAGGTGGAGGTGGCGAGGAGGAAGAAGAAGACTCCTGCCGGGACCCCCCCCCCCCCCGCCCCCCCCAGTTTTGCAACACATGAGAAGCAAAGTCCACACGTAGTTTGAACATCCACAAGTGCATCTGCACATGACATGCACAATGACACCCTCTCCATGACTTGTACATGAACAAAAGTCAATAAATAAACCAGCACGAAAAAAATACAATTGTGTCCGGTACGAACAACGTGTAACAACCCTCAACAAAACACATGTTTGCTCGAACAATGACCTCTCAAAATACCTGCAAAAAAACAAAAATAATACAAAGCCTGCGTGTGACCAAATAGGTTCACAGAATGTCAGACTTTACTAATACCAAACAATATGCCCGCTATAACAAACAATATAACCAAGCATCTCGTAGGTCTCGTGGCAAAAAAAAAACTGCCAATGTACTCCGACTGTCTCAAATGTAAATATGGTGCACCAATCTTTGTACACACTATGTAATGACGAGTCCGAATAAACCTAAGGAAAACCGAGACAGTGACAAATAAAGAAATGAGTGAACTGAAAACATGCACGGAACAAAGTAAAGCACAGGTCTCTATGACTGCCCGATACCACGCCCGATTCCATGACCACCTAGCCCACCTCCACTCCCACCTTTGCCACCCGCACCTCTCCCCGCCGATCGTGGACCGTGTGTGGCCGATCGTGTTGCTAAAGCCGCTCTCCTCTCTCTCTCCCTCCGCCTGGCCACATCAATAGCACTCCTCGGTGTCTGCGTCGACAACTTGTGCAGCCTCCTCAACCCTCGCCAATGTAGAAGCCTCCTCCAACGCTGCAATCTCCGCCTGGTGGGCTGCTATACGAGTCCTTCATGGAGTCTTGACGTCTTTGCCCTGCCCCCGCCCGCATAGCCAAAGCCTCCTCGCCGGAGGCCCGAACGTCTACGCCCCACCCTGCACTTCCGGCTCTGGAGTGGCTGGCCTGCGCAATACTCGCCCCATCTCGGGAAGGGGAACCCCAAAATACAACACGCGGTCCTGATATCGGGACGGCCCCCGATGTCACAATCGGCCCGTCCTCCCTCTTGTGCCTCTCTCTCTGCCCTCTGTCACTCCTCTCTACGTCGTGCCTCCGCCGCAACAACCTCTCACCTAAGCCTCCCATAGTCGACCAAGGACGGTGGTCAAACTGGCGAGCATCCTATCGTGAAGGTGACAATGACAATTGCATGTGTCCTCTCCCAACAACACTCCCTGGTGCGGGATGTTGGGCAACGCTCTGCGCGGGCGACGTGGACAGCGCTGGTGTACGCATATGAGTGTGAGTTGGCCATCGCTCCACTCTAATCCTCTTTAACTCCACCTCATCAGGCTGCAGGCTCCCGAGACCGAGAATATATAGGGCTGGCAAATGCGTAAGCTACGGCCGATGCTTCCCCGACACCACTGCATCCGTGACGACCACTAGGGGTGACGGTCAACGGATCCTCCATGCCCGCCCTCTCCAATAAATCTGTCTCTACCCCTTGTGTGTCGACGCCCGTGTGAAGATCCGTCTCCGGCTCGACCTGCAGTCCCTGCCCTCCCACCTCCTTCTCATCACCTCGTCTCATGTCCGCTACAAGAACCTCATCCTCTGCCTGCTGAATGTCAATAGACACCACCAAGGGCAATGATGCGTGTGCATCAGCCTTCTCATGAAGAATAAGCGCAAATAGGGTGATGACTCTCTCCATCAGTAACATATGAAGTTGGGCGGTCGTGCGTGCGGCCCACCTCCTCCTGCACACTACTCGACGGTCCTCCGCCAACTGCACCGATATTGTCTCCCTCGTCCGCCTCTAAACCCACAGCGTCATCGTCAGCATCATCCTGCTCCCGACTCCATCCGTACACCATCTCTGCACCTTCGGGTGCCATAAGTCTGACCACAACGTCACACACAACATCTGACTCATACTCGATCGTGCCTGATCCTCCTCTCGTGTCCGAGGTAAGAGGAGTATGTGATGTCGGTGCCCCGCCTGACATGGGAGGGGATGCAAGTGGAGGTGGAGTCCCCGCATCCCCCCTCGTAGTTAAGGATTGCGACGAAGTGGCATGGTTTGACACAGTCGAGTGCTCTGCGCAAGGAAGCGACGATATCGGCGGATCTGGTAGGACATGTCCCCCACCCCAAGGTTGTGAGGCAACATCCTCTCCAAGTACAGCCTCAATAATGTCACCCGCACTGATGGTCTCTAGCCGTCGCATACGCTCCAGCTCTGCCAGATAACCCACTTTACCTGCCCACTCAATGCGCGCCAAACGCCTCTCCTCCTCGTCCTCAATGAGCGCCTCACGCTCTGCACAAGTCTCCTCCCTCTGCATGTCACTCGGATAGTAGGCGGCCATGTCCCCCACCCAAACGTGCTGGCGTCTGCCAATGCCACTGGCGGACGCACCCTCTCCACCCACCATGAAGTCCCTCGTCCGCAAGTCTGACGGAATTTCCTGTAATGCGACTCTACCGATCGGAGTGCGCTGCTCAAGGTCAGGGCCGTCAGGCACATTGACTTGTATGTCCTCTAGGTGCTGCGAACAATCAGTCTGAGACTGTGCACCTTTGCTGCCACGGCTCACCAGCCTATCCGAGCGCTTGAGGGGTTGAGATCGTGCGCCGACATCAGGGGGCGGCAAACCATCTTCCCGCAATAAAGAGTCGTCCTCCTCATTGCCGTGCTCCTCGTCAGTATTGTCAACACCGAGGACCCTCCTCGCATGGGTGGCAAGGACGACACGGCTCGCAGAGGCGCCATGTCCAGTGCCACACCCCGTGTCGTGGCCCGTACCTCCAGCTGTCCCACTCGCCTCCCGTGAAGGCTCATCGTCTGGTCTGATGAGCGTCGTGTGGGGCTGTGCCCCAGCGGCCCCTCCCCCCTATGAGTAGTAGAGTCTCTCTAGACTCTTATCTGCACGGCATGCAATCTCCTCAGGGTCGGCCCACTCCTCCTCATAGCAGGCAATGGCCTCGTCTCGCGCTGCCCGAACCGCCTCATTCGCACGCTTCGCCGCTTGCACCTCCTCCTGGTAGTGGAGGAGCACAGTTGCTCTCGCATCGAACACAACCTCCAAAGGGCGAGGAATACAATGACCCTCGCACTGGAAGCGACGTGTCTGCTTCTCCACCCTGAATTTGTCACTGACGCCCGGGGTCGCATTTCCCATACCTCGTTAACAGGCCCCGCTGGACCACTCTCCGCCACTCTCGACTCTACCTACTCCAGAGCATCCAAGTCCCTCCACGGAAAACGTAACCGGCAGACCGCTCAAAACACTCCAGCAGTTTGAGATTGGTGGCAATCTCTACTAGCTGAGCGACCTTTGTGAACTCCAACCTGTTACGCCGAGCCGTGTGCACACACTCGTGATCCGCGTATTTTCTCTCTGCAGAAGAGGCAGACATCCACATGTGCAGCACACATGCTGCAATCTCCTGAAGGTCGGGGTAAGCGCCTCCGTGCTCCTGCCACCAAGGGGTTGCCTTCATAAGTTCGATTGACTACATTCTTTTAAGCCATTGGGGTGTGGTTTTGATTTGCTTCAACCAGTTCTCATTCGAATTGATTAGATATGTAGGGTTTCATTCTGGGGTAGGATACTCAACCAGCGGGGAGGGGAGAGAGGGGCTTTGTTTCGTTGTTGTTGTTGTTGTTGTTGTTGTTGTTGTTGTTGTTGTTGTTGTTGTGGTTGTGGTTGTTGTTGTTGTTGTTGTTGTTGTTGTTGTGGTGGTGGTGGTTGTTGTTGTTGTTGTTGTTGTTGTTGTTGTTGTTGTTGTTGTTGTTGTTGTTGTTTTGGAGAAACGACCCTAGTCGATGCTAGGGGTGCTGGTAGGAGCAGGCACTGCTAGCACTTCCGGGGGGGCTCCATCTATTGGTGGGGAGCATCACCTGCTGGAAAACGGGTCCAGCGTCCCTATACATACATATGGTAAGAAGTAGCCATGCTTATGTGTATGTTTGATCCGCTTTGTACAGACTGGGCTCTGGTAAGCCCTGAGTTCTATCCGTGTATCTTATAGCCTTGAGCAGGCTTCCTCTGTAAGAGTAAGTTTGTGTGCAGTGAGCTGTTTCTACTGTCTCTTATCACCCTGCCTATTAGGGTCCACTGAGTCTTTCTTAAAAAAAAAAGGAAAAAAAAAAAGAGCTGTTTCTACTGTCCATTGTGTATATTACAGCCTTGTGCAGGCATGCTGAGTACGTTTGTGTGCAATGAGCTGTGCTGTGAGCTGTGCATGTGTATGCTGGAGATCCTGTGGGTTGCTGTGAGTTGTCAGTTGTCAGTTGCAGTAGATGTGAGGTCTTTATACCTGCGTCTGTCTGTCAGTGCAAATGTGTGAAGGTGTTAGTGTATAAACTGATTTCCATGTGATAGGCTGTGCCTGTGAGGTCTCTACTGTCTATCATGCATATGACAACCTTGGACAGGCAGCTGTGTGCGTTTCTGTGCAGTGAGTTGTGTGTGTGTTTGCATGATGGAGTTGCTGTGAGTTGTGAGTTGTGAGTTGTGAGTTGCAGTGAATATGAGCACTGTGTGCATGTGCATATCAGTGTAAGCGTGTAACTTGTGAATTTCATGTAATGGGCCATGTCTGTGTTCCTGTGAGGGGATGTGCGATTGGAAAATGAACAATGAAGATTGAAGATTGAAGATTGAAGAGACCTATCCTTCCTTTCTCCCACTGTGTTTCCTGAGATCCATGCTAGGTCCTTAAGTTACCCCCGCGTGCCTGTCTTTTGTGGTTGAGGAAAACTGATGGATGGATGAGCGCTGACCTGCGCTACGGACCGGCTGGCGAGGCTCAGCCATACTCCGTGGACTGGGACAGTAGCTGTCCTTGGTCACAATGGTGTCCGCTTGGTCATCTGCTCAGGCGATGGTGGATATTCTGCCAGGTACACCAGGAGACGGTACATTAGCGTGAGGCGTCTGCTTTGTAAGATCTGACGACGCGTTTTTGGACGACATGGACGGCATGGATTCTAATGAAGACTTTCGGCGAGGTGCGGCGGAATGGTTGCGGACTATTGAAGAGGGCGGTCGCCGGCTGCAAGAGGTCGTGGATATTCTGTGTTCGAGCCAGGGGGGCCAGTTAGGGACTGTAAGGGGGACAGACTCACTGGCGCTATGGCTGGAGGACATGATGCAGGCCATGCTCGATATTATTTGGGAGTTGGAGGAGGGGCCGGCTCCTTCGCTCGATGAGTTTGTGGATTGGCATCGAGCTGGCCTGCTCATGCATGGATGCTATGACATCTTCAGGATAGGGCAGGATCGTTGTGCAGCTCTGCAGGAAGGATTGATGGGCTACTTCAACGGATTGACGCCGACATCGGCAGCGGCAACAAATGAAGAAATCAGCGGCAACAACAGCTTCTACATCGACAACTAGTGCAAAGGCAACGACAGCGACGACATCATCAACGGAGGCAACAATAGCCTCAACATCAAAAATGGGTGCAACGACAACGACAATATCAACAGTGGCCTTGGTGGTAATAACACCAACGATGACACCGACAAAACCAACAACAACGACATCAACAGCAACAACGACAACAACAACAACAATCGGTTCGACGATATCAATTACAGCCTTTTTGGGGTAACAAACGACAACTGCGGTGCTATTGGGATTGCTGGCGTCGCGGACAATGATAGCACCAATAATAATTTTCACAGCAACGATAGCCGGGGTTATGGCGATGAGGCCATGGATGATATGGAGATTAACCGTGGGTGCAGCGGTGCTGTTTGGCAGCGGATGGGCGTGGGTTAGTCGGTGGTGTGTGGAGTTGCCCGGTCCGCAATTCCAATCAGGAAGGGGTGGTGGTGGTTCCTCAGGCGGTAGGGGGATTGCTTAGGGTTTCCGTTGTCTTCCTGGTTCGTGTTGGATGAATACTGTACCGTGTAGGATGATTGATTTCCATGCTGCTTGATGAGGATGTTCGTCAGTAGGGATGAGGATGTTCGTCAGTAGGTATGGGGTCGCTGGGAAATAAATTAGGTTCCCCCCAACCAGGGTGTTGTTGAATGGTTTACGCTTCGTCGGATGGGCGGAGCGGGATGGGGTAACAAAGGTATGGTTTGTGAGCAGTTAATCCCCTCCTAGGAGGGCAATCAATGCTGCTCATCATCACATACCCTATTACGCACACATATTACAAATCTTCACAAACTTCTGTTTGCATAATTGAATGATTACCATGTCAAGGGACGCTGGACCTGCTTTCCAGCAGGTGCTGCTCCCCACCAATAGATGGAGCCTTCCTGACGGCGCTAGTGGTGTCTGCTCTTACCAGCACCTCTAGTGTCAGCTCGGGCTGTTTCTGCAAAAAAAAAAAAAAAAAAAAAAAAAAAAAAGGAAAAGTGATGGATGTGCGATTGCATAATCCAACCACAGTTTCCCTGTGCATTGTCCCCCATATCGCACTTGTCTCTTGTTGAAGAGCAATCAACTCATACTACAGAACTGGAAGGGGTGGGTGGGCAGTTCTTGCTGATCTTCAATCTTCCCCCTTCACTTCACTCGATTGATCGGATTTGATTGGATCCATTGGATTTGATTGCATAAATTTGAGCTTTTTCCTTTTCTTTTTTTCCCTTTTTTTTCCCTCTTTTTTCAAAATTGAGCCTGTACCTACTAGGGATGGTGATATAAGCATCCCTCCCCTAGCATATGACCACCGCTCCGTCTATTGGTGGGGAGCTGCACCAGCCGGAAACCGAGTCCGGCGTCCCTTGAGCATGAATTTCATGGACCAGAGTCATGTGTCCATGTTGTTGGTTTTTTTTTTTTTTTTTTTTTTTTCAACAACAACCCCCTCCAGTGCTAATGGTGCTGGTAAGAGCAGACACCGCTAGCACCTAGGGGGAGGCTCCATCTACATGTGTCCACGTGGTACTATGATGGCCAGCCATTTTCTCAAGGTGTCAGCCAGCGCCCTCAGTGTATATTATTGCCACAACATTTGGAGGCCGTCAGGGAAAGTGGTGGGTTCAACCACCAGTTTGTAACCCCACCAACCAAATATCTGGGCCCACGCTTTCGATGTACTGGCCTGCCTGCAGGCGGACCCTTTTGTTCTTTTTTATCTTTTTTCTTTTTTGAAACACCCAAGCGGATGCTAGAGGTACTGATAACAGCAGGCACCCCTAGCATTCCCAGGAGGCTCCATCTATTGGTGGGGAGCAGAACCTGCTGGAAAACAGGTCCAGCATCCCTGAACATTGTCATTATTCTTGGTACACACAGATATAATTGCTCTTCTGGGGCGAGGTCCCACAACAGACGTTGTAGGCGGTTTGGTTTCCTATCTTGTGTGGCTGGCGGTGACACATATGGTTGGGGAATCTGAACGGCGGCGGTGATTTCAAAGTGTTAAGTCCCAAATCTTTGTGTGTCCTCCAATGACATTTCTAGACACGGTTTGAAATTATAATTTTTTGAAATATTTAGGCGTCCACGAGGATGCAATATTATGGACGTGCAAAGGTGGGGGTGATATTGCAACTTTGCTACAGTGCTATGTGTGCACAAAAAGGCCGACAAAAACAAAACAAAGTCGTGTGTTCAAAGTACTGTCATAATGGTCTGACAGAGACCACCTTTAGAGGACCCAGCCCATTGGCCGAGTCCAGCACTCATCTGGAAAAAGAGGAAGCGAATTAGATTGCTTCCATCCCATTGGCTGGCGGGAGCAGCCTAAGCTGAATTTGGCTTTCTTTAATTCCCTTTTTTTTATTTTTTTTTAAAGCTCCATCTATTGGTGGGGAGGAGCACCTGCTGGAAACCGGGTCCAGCGTCCCATATGAACATAAAAAATCATTTGATATGGAAACAATGAATATTGACGTTTGCTTTGTCTTGGGGTGGGGCAGCAGCCTCTTCACCCGTTACCGGGCGCCAGAAAGAAGCATTCCACAGCTAGCTCTGTTCTACCCCTGATTCACTGTATCACATAACTTTGAGATTAATCATACCCAAACCCTTGGGACCTTAGACATTAGAGATGGGGGGAAAGAGTCTGGAAAGTCTGCAACAGAGCGCAGGGGAATAGATGGGTCTACCACTGTCCAATCACAAAAAATCAGCCTGTAGTCCCTGCTTATTTTTTCATTTTCCCTTCCCTTAGAACCCTCCCACTTAATTTCACCCAACTTCCCTCCCTGGTTTCCTCCAAGCCAGCTGTGACTGAAATGTTTAATGTATTTGAGAACCTCAGA